AATGGGCAATTTAAATGAACATTGGATAAATATTCAAGATCAATTGCCAATTATTTCTGGAATTGCTCCGGAATACACATGGTTGCCCATATCTAATTGCAGTTTAGAAAAAAGTTTCTCAATATATAACAATATTTAGATAGCAATAGACAAATCTTTCAGAAACTTCTTTAAAACTTTTAATATGTACAATAACTCTATTTAATTAATTGGAGGTTTTATTTTATTTTATTAATTAAATAAAATAAGATTTATGGCAGAATTAAGCAGGATTGCAAATAAAATAGGCAGAACTTTACCAGAAATAACGTTTTTAAACGCCGCAGAAGTAAGCAGATTTTGATTTTTTTCGCCGCAGAAATTCATTGCCCGACCGATTATCCATCTTTGCCCCTTAGCTGGATATTTGGGTTAGGGAGTATGCATATGTATACACAACAACTCCCAATTTTCCGTTCCCCGCAATTGCGGGGGTGGAAATATGCAATGATTATATAGACAATAACACCAATCAAACTAGAATAACTTTATAACAAACAATTATTTATGAATGAAAATAAAAAAAGTGTAACCGACCCAAAAATTAAAATTAAATATTTGTAAAAGGACAAAATCACAAATTGGCCACAATACAAAAATTTTGCCATGAAATTGAACCACTCACAGTACAAAGAAAAAATTGGGGGAAATTTCACAACAAAAAAAATTCACGTGTTCCCCAAAGTAAAGATTTTATTTTCTTATAAAAAGCAAAAAAAAGGTATAATAATAAAAAAAAAAAGGATTTTGCTTGTTGATCATTTCATATGAATTTCCCTTGGCAACAGATTTGAAAGTCGAAAGGAAAAAAAGAATTATGCAGAGAATCAGAACATAATTTCTTTTGGTTAAAGATTTAGAACAATCAAATAGGAAGAGATGCATTAAATTTTCGTTTGAGTGATGAAGATAAGAAGAATAGCTCCATTCAACCTTCAATTGATATAAATTCTTTATAGGATAAACTTGAGAATATGTGACTATTTCAAAAGGTTCTTGTATGAAAATTCAAAAATTATATGAATATAATGATAGTCGGCAAGCTATGTATGAATTTGGACGCACAAGGTGCGTCAATGATTTCCTATTTTGCAAAATCATATATTCATTTATCCTGCAGTCATGTTAATTGGTATAGCTGGTACAGGTGTTAAGATGAGAGAACAGCACGGAAGATATTGCATTGTTTGAATTACCAATCCTCACAAACTTGTGTATAGTGTTTCCGACAGACTAGGATTGCACAATCCTCCAGAATTATCAATGTCAAGATCACTGGTGTCAAAGTATACGGTGCTGTCGAGTTCATTCAAATGAGACTACCTACACTATAAAGCCTCGGGATCTTCATTCAGAAACTGCCATTTCTATTGTTGGAGTATCAAGATTGCTCTCAACTTCTGATTCCACTTTATCACCCTTCTCAAGAATTTATACGTCTACACAAACCATTAACACTGGTCAACAACACTTTTTCAATTAAAGTTGGCGCCCGTGATGTAAAACTAATTCGCAATGTTGTAATATTTGTTATAAATATATATGTAATGTTGTTACATTCAAATAAAAAGTAGATCACGATCCTTACTTTTTCCCGCGAGTTTAAAACCATTTCTTTTTCATATTTTTCTTATAAATGATATCTGGGAATATTTTACATATGATACCCATTTTGGTAATGGGCATTACCAAGCTACGCGTAAGCTATGTTTGTCGTTTTGTAAAGATGCCCGGCTGTATCAAATAATAATGTTTTTTTAAAGTGAAACAATATAAATAGAATTATTTTATGTATAGTTTTTATGTAATATGTAAAGTTGTAACATTTGATATTTGATTACGGAGGACAAACTTACTCTCAATACCTCCTAGTCAGGGAAATAATTGATAATTCATATTCATTGGCATTTGTTAATTGATATATCAAGATATAGAAAATAAACAAATACTCAAATTATGAAGGAAGGGTCAATATCGAGATTGGATTGGGTGATAAAGTAAATTGCGTAATCGTGCAAAAGTTTACCTTCATATATTTAATAAAAACGCGATTTTATAGACGCGTGTTTTTTTTTTGATATAAATTTTGGCGAATCTATGATACACATATATATGCACAACAAGTTTTTATATATATCATTATATATTTTAATATATATATATATGTCTTTCTTTTTTATTTATATTTATTTCGTGTATAAATTGTAAATTAACTATTATATATTATATAAAATTCTAAAATAAATAGGTAGTATATATATTATTAGAAAATATGCAAAATATAATTAATAAAAGAAGAATATGTGAAGATGGATTTTATTGTAATTAATGGAGAGAGGGGTT